TTTTCATCCATGCCACACCATGATGTCATTTCTTGGAATTCTATAATCTGTGGATTTGCTCACCATGGAAATGCTGAAAAAGCTTTGGAAATATTCGAGCAAATGAGACCAGCAAATGTTAAACCAAATCAAATTACCTTTATAGGAGTTCTGTCTGCCTGTAGTCATGTAGGTTTGGTGGCAAAGGGCAAATTTTACTTCGATTATATGAAAAACAAATGTCTTCTTCAACCAACAACTGAGCATTATACGTGCATTGTTGATTTATTGGGGAGATTTGGACTCATAGATGAGGCAATGCATGTTTTAGATGACATGAGAGCTGATGGAATCGAAATTCCTGCAAGTGTTTGGGGAGCTTTGCTGGGAGCCTGTAGAATACACAATAAGATGGAGTTGGGTGAGATTGCTGGAGAGAAGGTTTTAGAAGTAGAGCCTGATAACTCAGGCGTCTACCTAATTTTGTCAGAAATGTATTTGACTTGTGGAAGAATTGAAGATGCCGAGAGAATTTGGTACAAAATGAAAGAGAAGAGGGTCAAGAAGCAACCGGGTTGTAGTTGGATAGAGATAAATGACAGTGCTCATGTATTTCTTTCAGGTGACTGTTCACATTATGAATTCTCCAACATCTATTATGTTCTACACTTGTTACAAACAGAGATGGAGAGTAACATATTAAAGTCAAATATTGCTAGGAAGCAGTTAGAAAGTTCACATGCCTGTTATGGCTAAAAGTATATTGCTTGCACATCGTATCAGATTTAGTTATAGGGAAACAAGAATCCAATCAGTGCAAACATCGACAACCATATGCATTTAGCTTAGAGCTCAAAGTTGGCACATTTTTGATATTCCCAGAATGCAAATCGAAGGATCCATGGAAGGATAAAATCTTTTCGCTGACAAAGAAGAAACATATTGCCGAAAATATAATTGGATTGATATGCTCACGTTGTGACATGTAAGTTAAAATGAAAGCATTCTTTAAGAAGACAACAAACAAGAAATAACAACCAAAGATGATCTTAATAAGAGTTAAAGAGGAAAATTTCATCCATACCCAAACTGCAAAGAGATTAATCAGTTAGAGAAGTATTGTTGGTACAAACTTGGAGTGCAGTGTAGGTCTTGCAAGGAATTTGGACATGTTGAGAAGGTCTGCAAGTTCAAAATCAATAAGAAACGAAAAACTCATGTTGTTGATAATCTGGAGAAATTGTTTTTGGCACTTGCTACTCAACTAGCTTTTTGCGGTGAGACTTTGCTGATTGACAGTGGCTGTAGCCATCTCACGAGTCCTGACTGAGGCACATCCAAGATTCTTGACGCCTCATACAACTCAAGAATGAAGATAGGAAATGAAAAGTATTTAGAGGTGGAAAGAAGAGGATACGTAGCTGTGACCACTTAAAAAGGTACTAAAACCTTCTATTGATATTCTTTTGTGCTTAAGCTTTAATTTGTTGAGTGTGGACCAAATCCTTCAAAAAAGTATTCTGAATGATACTAATGGCACTATAAATGATATCCTTCAAAAAAGCTTTAATTTGTTGAGTGTGGACCAAATCCTTCAAAAAAGTATTCTGAATGATACTAATGGCACTATAAATGATATCCTTCAAAAAAGCTTTAATTTGGTATTTGATAATATGTTTTGCACTATAAATGATACTAATGGCACTAAATTGAAGAAAGTTGGGATGAAAAAAATAGATATTCCTCTCTAAATCTAGATAATGCTCATGCAGTAAATGTCATGAGGATGACACTATCTCATTAAAAGATTGAGCATCGCCACTTGCAGTCCCTTAAAAGTTTGTTTTATAAAGATTTACTCCAAAACATGCCTGCAGAGGAGAAAGTTTTGGATACATGGAATCTCTGAAACAGGCAGGTAGAGTAGGCTGCCCTTTCTGAAAGGGTAAAACTTGGAGAGCCTCAAACAAGCAGCAATTTGTACACATGAAAAAGTGTGGTACAATGAATATTTGTTCCTTAAATGGAAGCAAGTACTTTCTAATTTTCACAGATGATCTTAAATGATGCGCTTGGTTTATTTCCTAAGTCATTTGGTTGGAAATCAAAGTGGGATGAGAATCTAGGTTGTTAGGTCTGATAATGAATCTGAAAATACAAACAAGAGGGTTGATAATTTTTATGAGAATACTAGTGTTCATCACCAACTAACAGTCCACTACACCCCTCAACAAAATGGGGTGAGTGAATGAAAGAATAGGAGCATCCTGTAAGTGGCTAGATGTTTGCTGTATAGAAAAAAATGCAAAGAAATTCTGGGGTGAAGCAAATGGTACTGCTGTGTACATATTGAATTGGCTGCCCACTAAAGCCTTGAAGAACATGACTTCGTTTGAAGCTTATTTTGGTAAAAAACTATTAATAGAGCACTTCAGAGTATTTGGAATCATATGCTACGTTTATGTTCTTGATGTGGAGAAATGAAGGGTTTGTAGACCATTTCAAGGGAAGACGACATGTTCCTTAAAAATTAGCAATGGTTAAATATAGGGTTTGTAGACAGTTTGAAACCTGGCCCAGGCACTATATGGTTGCTAAGAAACTTAGCAATTTGTCCTTAAGGGCTTTTGTACAATTTCAAGGGAAGACAATTACTACTTCCTAATAATTGATCATCTTACTATATCCAGATGACCTATAGGTGACTGGAAGCAATAAGGGCCTGTAGACAATTTCAAGGCTCAAATGAAAGAGTTTAAGCTGACACGTTAACTGCCACGTGTAAAAAGAATACTACATCACCTTCCCCATGTACACTTGATTAACAGAGTTAACATATATGTTCACGGACATTTTCTTTCCATCCAATAAAGGGTTTATTCGAACATAAATTAAAAGTTCAGTGTGTATTTGAACCTAAAAAATGTGTATGAGTTTATTTGAAGATTTTTGAATATTACTAGAATATTTTGCTTATTTTAGCCATAAATTTGTATTTGAGTGTTCCCTTAATAAAACCCAGAAAAATTCTGCATCATTTTGCGACCTTTTTAGTCCAAACCAACAGAAACTCAGGGTTGCATAATTGTATATTATTGTCTCTTTCATGTGAATTTCATGTTGTCATTGTTACAAAATATAGGATTGTTTGGTTCTCTTTTTCTTTTGATATTATACTATGTAAAAAGGTGCTACCTCTCAACTATGACTGCAAAACCTAGAATTTTCATAAAACTTGATTTCCCATATGTAAGATCTTTTTTTCTGACTTGAGGCTGATGCTGCCAAATATTGCTGGTAAGAACACTATCATCTCTGTACTCTGTCTTCTTAGCATTTATAGGACTTTTATTGTTGTCATTATGCATGATAACCTTAGACTGTGGTTTTGGATGTCTATTATAATTCTTCGAAAGTGAGGATCATTTGCGTTCAACCCTGTTTTTGGTTCTTGTCATTATTTGGACATGGAGTCATATGATTCTATTAGTAGAGAGATCTCTCTGTCTAATTGCAAGTAAAAAAAGATTGTGAATGAAAGGATAAAATACTATGGATGATTAAAATTTGAAAAAATAAAAGAAAGGAAGGGATTGTTGTAATATTTTGGTTGGTTTAGTTTTATAAAGGAAACAATAAAGTACTTTGGGAAAATAGTCAGTAATACCCTCTATCAATAGAAAATGAAATTAAATAGTAAGGATAAAATAAAAAGTTTTCCTTTTAAAATTTTAAGCACTTTCATATCTCCTAATTTGGAGGAATAAAAGATTAAAGTGTTAAAGGAAAGAGACAGATGTTACCATATCTTCATTTTATTAACTACTAATTATTTTTGTTTAAATAAGTGCAAGGAGGGTAGACATCCTTCCATTTCCTTTTCTTTTGTCTACTTTCTTCAATTCAAAATATTGACACTTGCAAAAATGCATGAAATAAACAAGAAAAGTGTACTCTAGATCCAAATGAAGTAAATGAAATTACCAGGACTAGGTTGGAGAGACACTGACTTCAAATTGGACGAGCTCTAATATTTGAGCTGTTGTCCTCATCATAGTCTTAATCTTCTTTTTATATGCTGTGAATCGAGTGAAGTCAATGGTGAGAGCTGGCAAAAGTCAAATAAAAAAACTGAAGTTGTCTTTGTATGTCATGAATCACATGAGGGGAGAATCTGTTTGATATGTAATTCTTTGGAATCCTTACTACTGATGGTAGAGAAACATCTTGATGCTCCATGTTATGAGTAATATTATGGTATATTAGGGAGAACAAATGATGTGTTAAGTGGTTGGATAAGTGTATTGGGGAGAATAGGTCGGTATGTATTTATGTGTAAAACAATGTGTTAAATATGGACATATATATTGGGGAGGATAAGTCTAGATAAGGACAAGGAGGTAGTTAATTAACTTCTAGATAATTACCCTTTCTCTAGTATAAATACATGCAGTCTTTGATAAATTTTTAGGCAAGAAAAAATTTATGAAAAAATGTTGAGTACTTTCTTAGTCAAGAGATTATTGGATTCTCTCTTAACGAGTCTGTACTATTCACAATATTCCATGACGAAATCCATAAGTTCAGACTAATACTTCACGATAGCCAAAATGTTGCCATGCAGGTTTTAGGGGTATTTGAACTCCCTTATCAGTCTCAACTATCCAACTTTTATCATGTATAATACATATTAACTATTTGCTCTTTAGCAGTGGATTATTATTATTATTTGTAAATTTTATGCAACAGACCCATCACCGCAATGGATTTTATCAAACCTACTCTATTGTGATATATATAAATGTCATCCTCCCCTTAAAGAATGCATGTGGATTTCTAATTTTTCCTACATTGATAATTCCTAATTTACTGGAAAATATTTAGAATAACTCTATCGTGCATCATTGTAGTTGCATTCTTCCATCTCTTTTTTTAGAATTTAAAGATCACAAAAGCTATTCTACCCAGAGAAATTTGAGTTCATTATTCTTCTTGTCTCAGAAGTAGTATTTTGATGTCAGGTTTTTCAACGCATTGATGTCCTGAGTAAAGATTTTGATAATATAGTAGAACTTGAATTGGGAGCTCCATGGCCATTTCCACCTGTTGAAGTGACTGCTACATTAGCCCACAAGTTTGAACTCATAGGTTGGTGGTTCTTAATGAACCTAATTCTTATACTGTTATCCTTATCATCTGGCATTCATTACTCCATTACATTTTGTGTAAATGCCATAACAATTGATTGTGATAATGCCCAGGAACATCAAATATCAAAATAACATTTGAGAAAACAACTGTAAAAACAACTGGGAACCTATCACAACTTCCACCTTTAGATGTGCCTAGAATTCCAGATGCCTTGAGGCCCCCATCTAACACGGGAACTGGTGAATTTGAGGTTACCTATCTCGATGCTGATACACGAATCACCAGAGGCGATAGAGGGGAGCTTAGGGTTTTTGTGATCTCGTAACAACTCGACATGCACAGCTTCTTGTCACTTGAATTGTATTTGTACATCAACTCCTGCTGTATATATGAACGAGCTCAAAAAAAACTTTGGAGCAAGCATTTGGTTTCTCCGAGGAAAGAGGAAAAAATCAAGCAGAATACAATTATATGTTTTTGATCTACAAATCGAATGGCATTCTCCTGTTATTGATTCTTACTACATTTGGCAACTCAATGTTATGCAGATGAATCTTCACAGAGCAGATTGCCATAAAGATGAGAAGAAGCATCCACAATAATTTCTTATTCTGCACAACTAATTCGTGCATGTTCTTCTATTTACTTATGTAGATATATTTGTTTGCTAAATCACATTTGTAGTCTCCAAAATTTGAGCAAAATTTTAATTTGGTCCTTAAAAGTGTTTTGTATATCTGAAATTTTCTGTCTTCTTCAAGAACAGCATTTTCAGTCTGATCTCATTAGGATATATGCATTGTTTTTCTGTAGTTTTTAGTCTGATATTTGTGTCTGTCTGTTTAAGGCTAAACATTATTCTATATATGCCAATGGCATCTTGGGGTTGGATTGTTGTTTCATGGTGATAAAACACATGCATTCTTGCTTGTCTAAAAAGCTTGAAGTATGTGGGCTCCTGAAGTCCCAGTAATAAATCTAAATGAAAACCAACAATAAATAATGTGTGGCATTTGGTTTAATTATATCACCTTCTTATTCATTATTATTATTTTTTAAATATTTTTCTTATTTTTAGTCTCAACTTTTACATTTAATACATAATTAAATAAATTTTAATTATATTTTCAGTTTCATGTTAATATATTTGCATTTGTATTTGTCGAAAAAAAAAAATTCACAGAAATAACTAATTTGAAAAGGATAATAAAAATCTTCTTAAAAGCTATTTTAAGATGAAATATTTTGGTGACCAAAAAAAAAAAAAAAACAATTGATCTTAACTACGAAAATTACAAAAAATAATTTTTATTTATTTATTTATGTAATTACATTAATTGCAATTTGCAAGAATGTAGCTAATTCTTTCTATTTATTTATTTATTTATTTTTTATGAAAAATAAAATTTATGTGATTAATAATGCATTTAAAATATTAGGTAAGTCTAGTAAAAGAATATTGACATACCATTAAGGGAATCACAAGAACGTTGACACATTACAAAAGTGTTTGAAGATTAAATTATAAATAAAAAATTCTTATTAAAATTAAATTGTAACACAGGTTGAATTTTGGAGAGTAAAAAGACAATTTGCCCTAATAATAAAATTAATTAATAATACATAATGGTTAGAACCAAAATGACCATCGTGTCCCTGGAATTTTCTTTTTCGGTTTCTCCGCATCACGGGGTACCCCAGTGGGACGTCAATCGTTTCAGCAGGAAATAGACGTTAGGAAAACGTAACGGCTATATTTTGGTTTGAACTTCAAATTTCTCGAACCCATTTCTTCCTCTCCACTTTGTTTTCTTTCCGGTTTCCATTCCAAGATTTCATTTTGTTTTTTTTTTTGTTTTTACTTCAAAAACCCTAAAATCTTAAACTCTGTTTCTTTCCACTTCCTGTATTCTTCGATAGCTGAACAGAGAGAGTCTCCATCTACGTTCTCATCTTCTCTCCAACCCCAAGAAACAGAGTCTTGATAGAAAGGCTACATTTCATTTCTGGGTTTTTCTTCTTTCTCCAATGGCTCCAACGCCGTCTTCTTCTAAATCAAATCAAATCTATATACCCCAAATGAAGACCCCACAATCTAAACAGCGTCTCCATTTCCCTGCATCTGCAACAAAAATCACGAATCCTTCTCCCGGTCCGAACATGGCAGCCAAAGAAAACCCGCCAGGAGAGCATCCAGTAGAAGTTATTGGCCGTATACGGGATTATCCTGAACGAAAAGACAGACCCATCTCCATCTTGCAGGTCAATCCAGATAAACAAACTCTCCGAGTCCGCGCGGATATTGGTTACCGCGATTTCTCTCTTGATGGCATCTCTTTGTCAGAAGAAGAAGATCTTGATGCCTTCTACAAGAAATTCATTGAGTCCAGGATCAATGGTGTGAAGTTAGGCAACAAATGCACTATAATGATGTACGGGCCAACTGGATCTGGCAAGAGTCACACCATGTTTGGGTGTTCAAAGCAGCCAGGGATTGTGTACAGGTCACTGAAGGATATACTGGGAGATGGAGAGGAAGAGATTGAGGGGAAAATTGGTACATTTGTTCAGGTTACTGTTTTGGAGATTTACAATGAGGAGATTTATGATCTTTTGTCAAGTAACAATGGGGGTGGATTTGGTTTTGGGTGGTCGAAGGGTGGTAGTGGATCTAAGGTACTACTTTCTTGTCTCCCTATATTTTCTTGAAATCTTGATGATTCAATATTCAAATGAGTATTTTGCTTCATTTCTTTTAAATAAAATAGTTTCCTTTCAACTTTTCATCGATAACTTTAGCAGGTGGCAGTATGAATTTGGGTTTGGTTGAAATTGGTGTTCTGCTTTATGCCAAGATTCCCTTTTCCAGTGTTCATACTCTCCTTTCAGAGCAACACTGCAATTTGTAGTTTAATTTCCTGGAAAACGATGTTGCAGGTGGTAGTGAAGTTAAAATGACAGGGTGGATGAATTTACTCATTGGAATTCCCAGTTTACATTACTGAATGAATTTTGTTTTATTAGAGTTTTGTATGAGCCAAAATCCATAAGGTGGACAAGCCATTTCCGTTAGTTTGAAGGACTGTAGAATATAAAAAATTTTAAACTTGTGGAATTCCACTTTGGACTGGAAAAACCCATCTTAAGTTCCACTAAGTTTAATGCAATTTAAAATGCATCACTCAATTTTCTTTTTAATCATTTTAAAATTTCGATAGGACTTTTGCTGTTTAATCGCGTAAGTATAAATTTAAAAATAAATTCCACATGAATAGCTCTAATATAGTGTTATAGGACGGCACATTTTAACTAATGTGTAAAAGTTATTGATTGAATTTGCAATTGCAGGTGAGGCTTGAAGTAATGGGAAAGAAAGCAAAAAATGCAACCTTCATATCTGGAACTGAAGCTGGCAGAATTTCCAAAGAGATTCAGAAAGTGGAGAAGCGGAGAATAGTTAAGAGCACACTTTGTAATGAGAGAAGTTCTCGAAGCCACTGCATGGTATGATGAGGTACACCCACCATAGCAAGCATAAAAGTTTGTGAAATAGCATATTATTGACATCTCCAACCTATTTAGCCCTCCGCCCCAAGTTGGAATAAAAAACAAATATTATTTAGTAGTTTATTCTATTTCTATCCTGTCAGATTTTGAGACGCTCGAAAACAGCCAGCATAGCCGTTACATAACAACCATTCGGATAAGAAAAAGCATAACACACACACAGAAATCACACCATGGATATGGCGTCTCCAAAATTGGCTGACTGCTTCCATCCATCAATCCTCCTAAAACCTTCACTCACTTCTCTCTTCATTACCCCTTGCCTTCTCCACCGAACGCACTCTCCAACGCCATCCCACCGTCTACTAACCCGGGCCTCTCTCCAGCACCCATCGTCGTCTCAGTCGCCCCTCAATCGCAGGAATTTTGTCTCCCAGACAGCTGCTATTTCACTTTCTCTTGCTCCTTTAGTCGGCCTCACGCAGCAGGCTAAGGCCGAGGAGCCACTTTCCGAGTGGGAGCGAGTCTACCTTCCTATTGACCCTGGCGTTGTTCTTCTCGACATTGCTTTCGTTCCCGATGACTCGAACCACGGTCAGTTTTTGCGATATCTTTTTCCTCAATTTTAAAATTTTTTTTTAGGAAAATGGAAAGAGAAGTTGGCTTTGGCGAATAAATTCAGCTTGATTGAGCTAACTCTTTGGTGTACCCGGCCTTTTCTTTTCCTCTAACGGTGATGCCTAGGATTTATTTTGACAACCAATTTCCTTTGATAGGTTTTCTGCTGGGGACAAGGCAAACCATCTTGGAGACGAAAGACGGTGGGAACACGTGGGTTCCGCGTTCTATACCATCGGCCGAGGACGAAGATTTTAATTACCGATTTAATTCAATCAGTTTCAAAGGAAAGGAAGGCTGGATTGTAGGAAAGCCTGCCATTTTGTTATACACTTCTGATGCTGGAGAAAGTTGGGAGAGGATACCATTAAGCGCACAACTTCCTGGTGATATGGTAAGGTTCAACCTTTGCGCACTCGGTTATTAGCGAGATATATTTCTTCTCTCTCTCTCTCTCTTTCTCTTCGTTTTTGCACAAAAAAAGAAATTTTAGTAAGTTGTTGTGAACTAATAGCTTCTTACTCAGGCGAGTGAGGACTAGTGATGCAGAACTCTAAGATCCTTGCTTGAACTTTATAACTATTCAGTCGGTTTAGAATAGAATTTAGATCTCAAGTAAAAAAGAAACAAATTTGTTCAATTACCCAAATGGTAAAAGTTAAATAAAACTCAAGAAAGATAAATGATATTCCTTGAACCCAGTACAAACAAACACCAAGAATAATTGAAATAAGGAATCAAAATTGAATATAAGTGATAACAATTGTATTCTAAATCAACACCTTGTGCATAAAATGAAAAGAGAGTTAAAACGTTTTTAACTTAATTCTGAAATATTTGATTACCACTCTTGATGTCCACAAAGAAGAGTTCATTTAGTATTTATAACCAAAGAAATCAATGATAAGTTACAACATAATTGTAACTCTCACAATATTTAGACTAATTATGTAATAATTACAATTGTAACTCCAACAATAATTAGACTAATTATAGACATATAATTGTTATTTAACTCTTTGTAACTCTTTGTAACTTCAATCTTCTTAACCAACGCCACTGATTATTTGTGATACCATATAGTTATGGGCTCATTCTTGTAATAACACTAAGACAAGAGTTAACCCCAAATGAGTTACACTTGACTATATGGGCTTAATTAACTCAAACTAAAATAAAACAATCTAAAATATTTAAAACAACTCAACTAATCCAACCCATACACAAGGTTTATTTACCCATTACCAATAATATTCAAACAAGCTCAAATTATCCCAAATTATTTAAACTCAATTAAAGTTACGAATTTGATATGTTCAAAAAGCTCATATTTGAACTTTTCACAATTGGCCAGCCCATCATCCACAAGTTTTTGAGTGAAAACTTGGAGTAAATCTTTAAGCTTCTTTGCCTTTGGTCTTGTTACTGGTCCACTTAAACTTTTTAGGTTTGGAACTCTATTTGTGTTTACGTTATTTAAAATTTGCTCTAAGTCACATTTTGATGCTCTTTGAATATCTTGAGTATTTTTAGCTTTATTTGCATCACTCTCCCTCCCCTCAAAAGGATTTGTTCTCGAATCAATTCCTGCATCAATTTCAAAAGGGGATAAATCAGATATGTTAAATGTAGTCGAAACACTATACTCACCTGGTAGGTCCACGTTGTAGGCATTTTCATTGATTTTAGCTATGATTTGAAATGGACCATCCCCACGAGCATCCAACTTAGATTTCCGTTTTGATAGAAATCGTTATTTGCGCAAATGAACCCACACCCAATCTCTGGGTTCAAATGAAATCTTGTGGCTTCCTTTATTGACATGGGATGCTACTTGTTCATTTTTTTTTCAATGTTCTGCCTTAGTTTTTCATGAATTACTTTAACCATTTTGACTTTCTTATGTCCATCCAAATTAGAAATGTCACTTATAGGAATAGGCAACAAACCAAGTAGAGTTAAAGGATTAAAACCATACACAATTTCAAAAGTAGAAAACTCAGTAAAATAATGTATACTCCGATTATAAGCAAATTCAACAAATTGTAGCATATCTTCCCAAGTTTTAACATTCCTTCCAATTAAAACACATAATAATGTAACAAGTATTCTATTTGCTACTTCAGTTTAACCATCCGTTTGTGGATGTGAAATAATAGAAAATAAAAGTTTAGTCTCAAGTTTGGACCACAAAACTCGCCAAAAGTGGTTTAAAAACTTAATATCCCTATCGGACACAATAGTTTTAGGAATGCCATGCATTCTAACAATTTTGGGGAAAAACAAATCTGTTATGTGTGTGGCATCATTTGTTTTGTGACATGGCATAAAGTGTGTCATTTTGGAAAAACAGTTAACAACAACAAATATTGAGTCTCGGCCTTTTCTAGTCCTAGACAAACCCAACAAAAAGTTCATAAAAATATCAACCCAAGGATGTGTGGGAATGGATAATGGCATATATAATCCATGTGATTGAACTCTAAACTTAGCTTGCCTATATGAGATGCACTGCGCACAAATTTTTTCAACATGTTTGCGCTTATTAGGCCAAAAGAAATGTTCATATAAAATGCTCAAAGTTTTATCAATCCTGAAATGTCTCATTAAACTACCACTATGTGCTTCACGAACAAGCAACTCCCTAATAGAACTATTAGGCACACATAATTTTTCTTTTTTAAATAGAAAACCGTCATGCCTATAAAAGTCTTGAAATGCCACATGTTCACAAGGCACATAAACATTTGAAAAATCACTATCATACACATACAATTCGTTGAAATGCTCAAATCCCAACAACTTTGTAGAAAGAGTAGAAATAAGACTCTACCTTCTTGAAAGCGTATCAGCTACCACATTTTCTTTTCTTTACTTATATTGGATCACATATGGGAAGGACTTTATGAATTCCACCTATTTTGCATGTCGTTTATTAAGCTTGCCTTACCCTTTCAAATGCCTCAAAGATTCATAACTGATGTGAGTTACAAATTCTTTTAGTAACAAATAATGCTGACATGTCTTTAATGCTCTTACCAAAATATAAAACTTTTTGTCATAGGTGAAATAATTTAATTGTACACCATTGAGCTTCTCACTGAAGTAAGCAATGAGTCTTTTATCTTGCATAAGAACAACACTTATCCAAAGCCCAGAGGCATCACATTCAATTTCAAAAGTTGAATCAAAATTAGGCAATTTTAATAAAAACGCATTACATAACTTTTCTTTCAATAAGAAAAACGCATGTTTTTGTTCTTTTCCCCAAACAAACCCCTTATATTTTTTTATGATTTTAGTTAAAGGGGCAGCAACGGTACTAAAATATTTTACAAATTTCCTATAGAAACTTGCCAAACCATGAAAATTACGCACTTCACTTACACTTTTAGGTGTCGGCCACTCTTGAATAGCCTTTATCTTTTCACTATCTATCTCGATTTTTTTTGCACTCACGACATATCTTAAGAAAATGATGCGATCAATGCAAAATGTATATTTCTTCATGTTAGCATATAGTTGAAATTTGCGCAATGTGTCAAACACTTGCCTCAAATGCATGACATGCTCATCAATAGATTTGCTATACATAAGAATGTCATCGAAGTAAACAACCACAAATTTTCTAATAAATTCACGTAAAACATGGTTCATTAAACACATGAAAGTACTTGACACATTAGTTAAGTCAAATGGCATAACCAACCACTCATATAACTCTTGTTTTGTTTTAAAAGTAGTTTTCCATTCATCTCCTGGTTTAATTCTTATTTGGTGATGACCACTTTTAAGATCAATTTTAGAAAATACACAAACACCATACAACTTATCTAACATATCATCAACGCGAGGTATTGGGTGTCGATATTTTACTGTTATTTTGTTGACAGCTCTACAATCAACACACATATGCCAACTACCATTTTTTTTATGTACTAATAAGATGGGCACTGCGCATGGGCTTAAACTTTCTCAAACGTGCCCCTTTTGTAAGAGCTCCTCCACTTGCCTTTGAAGCTCTATGGTCTCCTCAGGATTGTTCAGGATTGTTCCTATAGGCTGGTTTATTTGGTATGGCAGCCCCGGGAATGGAGTCAATTCAATGTTCAATCCCTCTCAAAGGTGGTAAACCTTGAGGTAGATCATCGGGAAAGACATCACTAAATTCCTGCAAAACTTGAACCACAACACTTTGTAAAGAATGGTCAAGTTCGTTAGTTGAGAAACAAGCTTCCTTGTACATGAGTACAATCATTGGCTTGTTAGAAAATAAAGTTTTTCTCACATATTTCATTTTAGCATAAAAACTCATTTTCTTTTCCTCATTCTTTTCTATGGTCGAATGCACCTCTCTTTCTTTTTTCTTTTAATCTTCATTTTTCTACTCTAATTTTCTCTCACTCTCTTTTCTTTTCTCTTTTCTCTTTTTCTTTTTCTTTTCTTTTTCTCTCGGCCTCTCTTTGTGCGAATTCATCATGGGACTTTTCAAGTTGCATTTGGTTTTCAAAAGCTTGTTTAGGGGTTAAAGAAAGAAAAGTATACTTTTTGCCCTCTTTTTCTACCATGTACCTATTGAGATACTTATTATGCATCACTCTTCTATCCCATTGCCATAGTCTACCCAACAAAATATGACTACCTTGCATAGGAACTACATCACATGTCACCTCATCACTATACTTCCCAATAGTAAAAGGCATCCTCACTTGTTTATTAACTCTCACATCCCCACTATTGTTAAGTCATTGCAGTTTATAAGGTTTAGGATGTTTTGTAGTTTGCAAACCCAGTTTATCAACAAATAAGGTACTACCCACATTTACACAACTACCCCCATCAATAATTATGCTACACAATTTTCTATTCACTAGACATCTACAATGAAAAATGTTCTCTCTTTACAACTTAACCCCCTCATCATCATTCCTTACTTGCATATTTAAAGCACGCCTAGAAACCAACAATTTACCTTCCATATGCGTTTTTCCATCACTACAATCCTCCAAAAGAGGCATTTCATCCTCCACATCACTCTCATAATCCATTTCAACACCATCACCACGCATCACCATTACCCTTTTATTTGGGCATTGAGATGCAATATGACCAAAATCCAAGCATCTAAAACACTTGATATTTCTATTCCTAGGAGTTTGGGAGTTAGAAATACCTTTGTTTTTATTATCATTAGCATCTTTTGGTTTAGTTTTGTCATCTCTTTTGAATTAGACAGCCTTGTTATCTCCCATCCAATTCGGCCTCCAATTGGAATTTTGGGCCAAATAAGTGTTGGCTTATCTTGTGTTCCCCTTTCGCTTTAATTGTCTTTCAATCTTTATAGCCATGTGTACCATATCATCAATTTCTACATAATGTTGAAGTTCTACAATGTTGGCTATGTCTTTGTTAAAGTCATTTGAGAACCTTGTCATAGTAGCTTCTCTATCATCTTCAATATTATCCCTTATCATGGCTATCTCCATCTCTTTGTAGTAGTCTTCTACACTCTTGTTCCCTTGTATAAGGCCTTGCAATTTTTTATGTAAATCCTTATAGTAGTGAATAGGAACAAATCGCCTTTTCATAATAGCCTTCATTTCGGCCCAAGTGGAAATAGATCTCTCTCCATTTCTCCTTTTACTTGTGATGAGTTGATCCCACCACACAATAGCGTACTCTCCAAACTCCACGACCATAAGTTTTATCTTTTTCTCCTCCGAATAATTGTGGCACTCAAAAATAAGCTCCACTTTGCGCTCCCATTCAAGATAAGCATTCGGATCATTCTTGCCTAAAAACGATAGGATTTTCATTTTGATGCTCCCAATGTTTTTATCAGGATCATTTCGACCCCTACCATAATTTCGACCTTCATTGACCAAAGTAGCTTGGTCATCAAATTCTTCCTCCACTTTCTCATCAAAAGGTGGTGTTGGAAGTCTTCTTGCCCTTAGATTGGTTTGGGAAGTTTCCTCTCTCATGAAATTTAATTTTATTATTTCTCTAGTTTCTCATTCATGTTGCCAATAACTAGTTGAATCCTCTCAAATTGTTGTTGCATTGCTTTGAGAATGAATTGTTGATCTTTTAATGTTCTTTCACTCCCTTGTAGCTCTATCTTCAAATTTGGTGAACCTGGCTCTGATACCAAATGATGCAGAACCCCAAGACCTTTGTTTGAACCTTAGAATTCTTCAATCGGTTTAGAACATAATTTAAATTTTAAGTAAAAAAGAAGCAAATTTGTTCAATCACCCAAATGGTAAAAGTTAAATAGAATCCAAAAAGGATAAATGATATCCCTTGAACCCAATCCAAACAAGCACCAAGAACAATTGAAATAAGAAATCAAAATTGAATACAAGTGATAACAATTGTATTCCAAATCAACACCTTGTATATAAAGTGAAAAGAGAGTCAAAACGCTCTTAACTCAATTTGAAATATTTGATTACTACTCTTGATATCTACAAAGAAGAGTTCCTTTAATATTTATAGTCAAAGAAATCAATGATAAATTACAATACAATAATTACAACTGTAACTTCCATAATAACTAAGTTAATTATGTGATAATTATAATTGTAACTCCAACAATAATTAGGCTAATTATAGGCATGTAATTGTTATGTAACTCCAATCTTTTTAACCAACACCACTAATTGTTTGTGCCACCATATAGTTATGGGTTCATTCTTATAATAACACTAAAACAAGAATTAAGTCCAAATTAGTTACACTTGACTATATGGGCTTAATTAACTCAAACTAAAATAAAATAATCTAAAATACTTAAAACAACTCAATTAATGCAGCCTATACACAAAGCTTATTCACCCATTACCAATAAGACTCAAACAAGCACAAATTATCTCAAATTATTTAAACTCAATTAAAGTTACGAATTTGAGTTGTTCAAAAATATCATATTTGAACTTTCTATAATTGGCCAACCCATCATTCACATGTTTTTAAGTGAAAACTTGGAGCAAATCTTTTAGCTTTTTTACTTTTGATTTTGTTACTGGTCTGCTGAAACTTTATAGATTTGGAACTTTATTTATACGTCATTTGAAATTTGCTTCAAGTCACCTTTTGATACTCTTTTAGTATTTTGAATGTTTTTAACCTTGTTTGCATCAACTAGTCACCACAAATAAGTTCTTTTTATGTGTAAACCTTAGAGCTTCTAGTTGGGGAGATTAAGGACTATTTGTCCATCAATAGTTATTATAATCCTTTAGGGCTTTGCGAGGGGTAGAGAGGGTTAATGTCCCATAAAAGTTGTGAACCAATGGAGGTTGTTTCTCGGAAGAAATAAAAACTTGTTGCCTAAAAAAATTAGAAGAAACATAATAACTAAACGTAGAAAAGCTTAAGTTGACAAGAAATGATACAATTTATTATCTCTGTTCTACCACTAGATGTCATTTCCAATGCTCATACTGACTTAGAATAATCTTGCTATTATGCTCTATTTGACTACACTGAAAAAACACCATGTCCTTTGGTGGAGGATAATTTGATTGTCACTGTCTTATGGCCTACTGCCGGTTAAGTGATTTTCCCTTGCTGATCTTCCTTTTATTAGTGAAAAGGAAGACCACATGTAATACATGACATACTAACTTATAGAGGATATTGATGAGTCTGAATGAATTCAGTGACTGTTTATTGTAATACATTTTTCACATGACAAATTGACCAATTTGGTAAATTTGCAAATTATCAGAAATAACACTAACTTCTTTTTCCCTGACAAGTTGGTCATACTTCATATTGTTTGCAATTTGAGTGTGGAATTGTTTGGAGCAAAAGGAAACTCTTTTCTCTTGCTGTGCTTGATGTTTCAGCCAAGTATGAGACTACAACATAACATCAGAACAGTGTTTGTTTTCTTTATAATTCCAGTGGATTTTGCATACGGATTCACTGAACATAACATGGAAATCTGAATGGCAAAATACAACTCAAACAGAGAAGTGGCAGTACAATGTGAATTGAAGCATTTAACATGGAAATCTGGACCGTAGACTTTGAACTGAACGGAATGGAAAAAGGATCCTATGTTGTACCATATCTAACAAAAAATGAGTAGTTGTATTTAAACTTTCTGAGAAGTTATATTATATATGGAAGAGACAGAAAAATACAACTTTAATCATATTACTATGATCTAGATAAACCACATTTACTGGTTTCTAGCCCATGTGATATAAAATGAAACTAGATATGATCTTTGCTGACACTGGGAACTATCTACTAGTTGTGCATTCTACTTATCTTTTTCTATCTCAAGATCAATAATTAATGTAAGCACATGAATTTATATATTAAAATACCTACATTAACATGACTTTCTATACATGTATCTGTGATTTTTTGAACATGTGCTTTTGCTATGAATTTCTTTTGAGTTTAATTCTCTTTTCCTTCATACATTTCATGAGGAGACTCCCAGAGCATACTTGCATATTTAAATTATCTTCTAAAGAAATTTGAGATATTTGTTTTAACCTCAATATTCGTAGGTATATATAAAGGCAACTGGAGAAAAGAGTGCAGAAATGGTGACTGACCAAGGTGCAATATATGTTACATCAAACAGGGGTTACAACTGGAGGGCGGCTGTTCAGGAGACTGTCTCAGCTACACTTAATAGGTGTGTTTCAGGGATCTAGTTTAATTTAAAGATTGTATTAAGAGTATGAAAATTTTGGTTTCCTCTCCTTCTCTTCCCCCTATCTATGTTGCTGTTTTGGCACAAAGTCAGTAATTAGAGTTGCTAATAATAGATGTATGATTGGGAAAGATCTCATCGTAACTGAGAAGACAACAAATGAACTCCTTAAACACAAACATATTACATATTAAATTTTATCTTTGAATTAGTTAGTTTAACCTGTTAGAGTGTTTAGTATAGAAGCCTCTCTCTCTTTATACTCTTTGGTTGCAGAAAGAAAACCCCTTATTACTTTTACAAAAGAAATTGAGGTCTTGCAAAATGTTGAAGGGAATGTCTTGGCTGAACTTGAAGTGATAAAGTTAATTTTTTAAAAAAATAAAATAAAATGGTACAACTACTAAAGCTAATATTCTGCATGTTGAGTTTTAGCTTCAATACTCCCCCTCAAACAGGACTGAGAAGAAGAGAGGCCCAGTTTGCACGGATTGATTTCAGTTTGCACAATCATCTAATAAACTTTTGGTGATTCTGCACTGGAGATTCAGCTTAATTAGATTCATTAGCAATTTAAAGAATTAAAAGGTACATTTAGAAAGGTTTCTGAACTTGATAATAAGGTAATTTCTTGGTTCAAATGTGCCCTTAAGAAATAGGTCTTTTGCTTTTCTCGAAAGAAAAAGATGCACCATCTATTTTTTTTTTTCAAAAGGAAATATATTGCACCTATTAGCTATCAAAATTATATCTATGCTAGTCAGATAATTTGTTTTATGTGGTTTTAAAACATGTAAATTGTACTTTCTTTGTTGGAAGTACTCAGTTCACAAGTTAAATTTTATTTTTTCTTTACCTTCTTTCTTTCCTTTTGAATTGTAGATCTAGGGTGGGGACAGTGGGCACAACATAATACTCATGTTCATTATCTTAGCTGGACATATACTTAAAAGGTTTTGAAAAACCATTATTAAAAGCTTTCAGTTTTTCTATTGCTCCAAATGGACTCTTCTATCTCCAACTTGTGAGATGGAGAGTCATCCTTGGCAAGCAGTTCTTCTAGTTCTTATTTTTGGTGGATTGAATTGACATGTGGGTCTTCTGGTGAGAATTCTTGTGCATTTAGACAAAATTGGTAGTAAATTTTCAGGACACTGTCAGACACCTTGGACATGGGTCTGATCTGAAGAAATAAAAAAGAAGAAAAGAAGAAGGAGAAGAAGCGAGGACAGGAGAAACATAGAAGAAAATCTGGGATAATTATTTTATTTCGTTCCTTGATAATTACAAACATAAAGAGTGAGGCTTTTATAGGCTTCAAAATAATAAAGAGGGACAATATTCACGGCAGGAATCATTGGCTGCTCATGATGCGGCAGTGGCTGCCGTACATTTAAAACATTAACCCTACTCCTAAACCCTAATTGATACATGCAAAAAACTAATTTACCTTTTTGTGAAGTTTCCTTTTTATCCTTTGTATTATGACAATATCCTCCCCTTGAGCATCAACCTTGTCCTCAAGGTTGAGGTGTGGAAACTGTTGATGTAGATATTTATAATCTTCTCACGTACATTCTTCAGCTAAAGCTCACCTTCGTGTTCACAATTTGACTTGAAGAACCCACCAAATCTGCATAATGAATATTATTAACTTTGAATGGCAAAGATACTCATACAGCTTCATTGTTTTACAGAACAGTTTCAAGTGGTATCAGTGGTGCTAGCTATTATACAGGCACATTTAGCACTGTGAACCGTTCACCAGATGGAAGATATGTTGCTGTCTCAAGCCGTGGTAACTTCTATCTGACATGGGAGCCTGGGCAGGTGATAGTCTATTCTTTTCATGCAGTCTCAATTTTCTCCTATCATATGTTATCCCATCTACCATGCACATAGGTTCAGGGTTGAACTTTATGTTATTTCAGTTGTGGTTAATAAGCCTGTCAGGTCGCGTTTGGACGGTTAACTGTCATTTTCTTTTCTTAACTAATTAAAATAAGAGTGACTCATCAATTGATTCCCGAAAATTGCCTCTTAGGAATTGGCATACTTATAAATCTTAGGTATTTGAAGTCATATTTGGTGTCTCCATGTGAAACCATCTGTGTTGACTATTATTTATGTCAGATATAGTTTCAGAAAACTTTTTGTAGCAGCCATTAATTGGTAGCCTCCATGAAGCCTGATCTTATGCTTCCTTGATCTCTGGAAGGATGTTACTGTGGACTTAATGTTGGGTCTATCCAGATAACCTTGATGTCCTGATTGCATCGCTGCAACTTAGATGACACTTTTTATCCTTGTATTAAAACTGTCAATGCATCTATTTTTTTTTTTTTTGAAATAATCAATGCATCTAATGTAACCAAGTTATTCCTTAAAGAGGTTGTTAAGTTACATGGTTATCTTCTGTTATAGTGTTAGATAGAGATGTCGAGTTTACCAATTATTTCAGATGGTACTTTGAAAGCTCTTTTAACATTGTTTTAAATTTCTCATATGCATTTCACTCTCAGCTTAATGGGTAATTTGAGTAGTTAATAATAGTTAAGGTGATTAGTGTAGGTGCATAATGGTGTAGAAGGTAAGTTTTGCCTACTGTAATCCACTGGGAAAAGCCTCTTCCTCTATCATTCATAATATTCACTACGGACCCCTATTTACTTAATACTCCATCGTGATGCCCATATTTTGAGCTAGCTGAATTCCTACCTAATTCATGATATGAAAATGGAGATTAAACATATTACAATGAGTGACCGAATATGGGTCTGCTTATGGTGTTCATGATATGATTTTTAATGCTGGTGATATGTCATGATTGCACTAGACTAAGCATTATCCTTCACATTTGAGAAAGCAACACACAGAACTCATGGCCCCTTATTTCATCATGAGCAAACTTGGAGCTAATTCTTATTTCTTGATTTGCCTAATATGATCATCAACCTGAGTTTTCAATGTAGAGAATTGTTACCCAATTTAGACTTTGAGCCTCCTGTTTTGTCTATTGGTGTTTCTATAGGTACTCAAATTCCTAGAGCTCTAATATTTCATTCACCATTTTTAGATGTTATTCGATCCCCCATTCTGCATATTTCTCTGTTTGTCCCCATAATTGGGTTTTGCCATGAAATTTCGCTTGCACCTATCTTGCTCACACACAATTCCACTTTCATGTAAGGGGGAGTAACAAAATACAACATTAATAATAAATTGAGTCATTTCCTAGAAACTAGGTTTATGAGAACTTATTATTTAATAGAGTTCATTCTAAATCCTCAATTACTTGATGACTATCCTCATTCTGCAAATTCAACTTCACTTGAAGCAGGGGAATGTTTTTCTATCTTAGTACTTTTATAGGTTCGTTATTTCTTATTTAGTTTTAATTCGCTATTTGATATCCTAATTATGGTCATAACAGCACTTTCTTAGAGAAACAAAAAATGATGTTACCAGCACAGTATGGGGTGCCACCCAAGAACAAAAAGATGTTTGGTCTTACTGACAGAAGAGGAAATATCTACAAGGCTCCTAATTCCTCCATTAAAGAGAGCTTGACCTTTAAACAAAATACTCAATATTTGAAACTCAAGCTTTTAAATATTTGATAGTCTAGCAAAAGCCCTAATAGGATATTTAGAAACCACATAAAAAATATGGGAGATACCATGTTGTCATTCAAACTATTGATGAATAAAATTATAGACATGTTGATATAAAAGAGAAAGATACTAAAGTGGCATATTTCATTAGGAGATACTTATGGAAATATTATATATTAGTAAGGTATTTAGTTAATTTAGAAATTATTAGCTATGGGCTTATGTTTCCTATGAGTTCATTGTTTCTTATTTAGTTCACATGTTATTTGTATACTTTATTATTGGTTATAATATTAAATAGTTATTTTCTTTTTAGTAGAATTCCGACATAAACGTAATTATTGGCAGATTATTCTTACAATTAGTGTTCAAACATTGAATTATTGATTTGATTATTGAGATTTGATATCTCTTATTTTGTTTCTTGATATATATTCTCCAAGTTTTATTTTCAAGTTCCCTTTGTCTTACATCACATATTTTTTCGTGATTGAGTGCTTATCGACCTTGTAATTGTAGATCCTTGATCCCTAATTGAAATATACATATATATTCTCTTTGTCTAGTTTGGTTCCATTGTTCTATACCACCATCAAGCCATGTTAACCAAGTCCAGTTGTTCAGAAACAGTAATTTTAAACCCCCAGCTTACTTTACTCTCCAGATAATAATTGGTTGAGTCAATTGGGATTCCTTTCCCTTGTACCAAGGCGATGCTACAGTAAGATGACATAGCATGGCAGAAATTGAGAATAGCATAGCATGGCAGGACTTGGGCCCAGTTTGTGGCTCTGCACCAATCTATAGGTAGATTTTGAATTGTGCGACTTTCTTCATACGTGTGTCTCTGTAAAGAGCCTTAAGAATTTGAGCACCCACACATCAGTGCGGAGAAAATGAAATTTGGCCTGCAAACTTGGAACAAATTGTTAGTATTGAATCTGGTCAGGACCACAGTCCAACAAAAATCTTAACCTTGGAGGGAGCAACAACTTTCCAAGTTCCAAAACATTTACCAAAGGCAATTTTCTGAATAACAGGGTTGTGGATTAAAAACTCAAAACAAGATTTGCACGTAAAGGTACCAGTGGATCCAAAGGCCAAACTCTATGGTTAGAATTCATAGAAAAAATATAACAAATTCAAGAAGCTAAATTAAAGAAAGCATATAAACAGCCTCGTAATCATAAGATTTCTATGAATGAATCAGTTCCAAGAAACAAGATCATCAGTTTAGACAGTGCAAAAAGAAAGATAGGAGTATAGCGCAAAGAAAGAATGTAAGGACAAGGAAAATGGGTGGCCAGAGCGGTCTGATGAATCTAAAGATCTTTTCGAAACAAGATACACAAGCCATAGCCCATTCAGGACTGGATTAATGGGAGAAAAGAGTCATATATTTGAAACCCTGTTTTATCATTGTATCTTACCTTCTATATGAAAATAATTTCTCAATTTTTCTCATGAGAATAGCTATATATACTTCTCTATTTCTATTTATACTTCTTTCAGTACATTGAACAAATATGGGGACAAAAATTAATGTGAGTGGTTGTAAATTTGTCATGAGTTTTATGTTTCAATTAAGTTGTGGGTTTAACCACTGTTTTCCACTATTTATAGCCATTCTGGCAACCACATAACAGAGCAATTGCACGAAGAATTCAGAACATGGGATGGAGAGCTGATGGTGGTCTTTGGCTTCTTGTTCGTGGAGGAGGACTTTACCTTAGCAAAGGCACTGGGGTGAGTAAAATACTATGAGAAAGAAATTTAACGAGATGCACTGATTATGAATTAAATGCAAGCCATAAGCCAGTGAATATAAGTTCTACTGTAACTTTTACAAAATACAAATAAGAAGAAAAACAGAACTCAATAAAAGACAAAGGAGTTCAAATGGTTGGATTAAGAATTTTATTTCTTGTTCTAACCATTACTTTTCCAATTCATTAAGGCCTTTGCCAAATTAGCTATGAATTCAAACTACACTCAGCCTGAGTTCTTTGTTTCCTGAAAAACTTCACGTCACTTTTAATTTATGCATTTTTTGGGAGCCATTACTGACATTTGTCTTTATGTTTGAAGTATAAAAATATTAACCTCAGAGTTTTGAATTCTTGAGACTTCGATTTCTCAGAACAAACTCTCTATATATTGCTTAAGTTAACAATTTTAAGAGAAGAAAATTTTTCTAGTATATTATCCTTGTTACTAAGTTTATAGTTGGTCTTCATAACATATCATATGATTGTTTGAAATCGCTTACTCTATTGAAATTATTATAAAAATTGCCATTACAGTCTTGAAGAGCTTTGACAAATGACTATTCTTTTTCCTCCTTTCTTTCTTTTGTGGATCTCATTCAAAATGGACAATCAAAATCGACAATCAAATTTCTCTGGAGATGAACCAACATTCCTATTTTTTTATCTTGAATGTAAAATTCTCAGTACAAGTGGATAATTCATGATTCATTCAACAGTCATGGCTCCCCTCCAAATTGTGCAGTCTTTTTTTCTTTATCTTTTCTGTTGCTGGTAGTACTGAAATTAAATGTGTGTTTTTCTTTTTCTTTTCTTCTTGGAAGTCCCAATAATATGTCTTGGGTGTTTCAGGTAACAGAAGATTTTGAAGAAGTTCCTGTGCAAAGTCGAGGTTTTGGTATTCTTGATGTTGGGTACCGTTCAGAGGTAAGAAGTTTTTTCTTTGCTTTTGCAGACTCTCTTTCCTTTCTAACCTATTTGGAACTTTAGGACTTAGAATCATTATAGAGATCCACCAATCTCTACAATGAAAGCATTTCCAACCTTTTCTTAATTTATTTTCTGATGCTTTTCTTAGCGCAATCTGCTTCCATATAGACGGCAACCATAATTTTGGCTTCCTGCTTAAAGAGATGCTTTCGTTCTCCTAACTAATGTTAAATATAAATTTCCTAATTAATTTGATTTCCCAAATAACGATGACTGTGAAAATTCCAACCAGTCCAATTTCCTAATTTGATTCTTAGTCAAATCTTAGTTAACTGCTGAATCTAGTTTCTTCATCATCCCATGGGACCTGACAGTTCTGGTAAAGAGAGGAAAATCTACAAATGCACAAACGAATTAAGGTTATGTTTGGAATAAGTGAACTTATTTATGGAATTTAATTTGAAATTTCACATTTATTTTTGCTTTTAGATGATGGAGATACTTTATGAAATAATAAAAATTAAGTTCCAAGATAGTTCCAAGTGGAACTAAGATAGCATATTTCTGACTACATCTAGATTAGAGTAAATCATGATCATTAGCAAGAGAGATGCAGACAAGGAAACCTCCTATTTTTAGTTGCACCATCATCTACAAGTTTTTAGAAGTAAAAAGATAAAACTGAATCATTCAGTATATAAGCACTGCATGAGAAAATTTGCAGGAAGAGGCATGGGCAGCTGGAGGCAGTGGCATTCTATTGAGAACTACCAATGGTGGAAAGACATGGAGCCGTGACAAAGCAGCTGATAACATTGCTGCAAATCTTTACTCCGTGAAGTAAGTCAGATAAAATCAAAAGCAACCTCATGTTTATCCTTTTATTTCTTAAAATTCTGTAATTTATGCAATGCATTTTCTCAAGGATAATCTTCCTCCCCTTAAAAGATTTCATAATTCCTTGTTTATCTTCTTCCTATTACATGCTTCCTTGTATACCCAGTATTTGAATATCAAGTTTCTGGATCCTGGGTGATTGACTTATTTCGAAGATGTGTTTTTGGAATATTTTCTCTGGGATTCCTTCCTCTGATGATAACAATGAAAGAGGGACTGGTGCCATATTTGGATTATAGGGTTCATTAGATTGTGCTTTACAGTATTGTTTTTCTGGGATTATGGAGGACTACAACTTAGCGTTCATGATTCGTGTAATAACCATAAAGGTGATTGTTCCTTTGTCAAATTAAGGGAGCATAGTGAAAGGCACATTGTCCAATGTCTATATTTTGTAAGCCATATGGTCTATATCAGAATGCTATTCCTTTTTTTTTTTTGTATCTCATTTGTTTCTGTTGCCAAAAGCCATATAAACCCAGAAAGCAGTTTAGAAAAGAACAAATGAACGTTTAGGAGTTAGGAGTTTTGTCTTCGTATCTTAGTTGAATACCGGAATAAGAAGACCCAGGCATCATAGTCCAGTGATCTGTCAGAATTCATTAGAGTGCTTGAGTTTTACTCCAGGTACAAAAAATAACATTGGCCAAAAGAAGAGATGGTAGTATGCCTGAAATTTATTAAAGGTATTGTGGTTATGGATCCATATCCTGGTTAGGTTGGCTAGTATACTAATTCATAGACCCAAGTGGCCAAACAATCCAGGGGTCCCTTGCATTTTCAACAATGCATCAACTTTTATTAATAAGAGTTGGAAGCATATACAAATTGATGATTAACATATAATCTGTCATGTAGGTTTATCAATGATAAGAAGGGCTTCGTGCTTGGGAACGATGGGGTCTTGCTCCGATATCTTGGTTAAAGTGGTAATCCACCCAAGGTAATCAATTTGATTCTCCCTTGAGCATCCTTTTGACAAAATTCATTAGTTACGTTCTCTAAAGTTTGTTGTCTGTGGCATTCCATCTCATCAATAACTTGGTGGTAGATTTTGGCCAAGGAAAATAGGAAAAATGGCTTTCTAGATTGTTTGAATAAATTATTTTAACATTGTTCATGCCATTGCAGGTTTTTCAAAGTGCTTGCAATTTTGTATAGTTGATTTGTATGCCTGGATGTTTTGGCTGTAAATTATATACAGAGGTACCAAACTTTCCCCGCAGTTCAATACCATAGTTGCAATGTTTTTATAGAATTAGCTGTGATTCTTTGTGATCTGTTGTACCCCGAAAGAAGCTCTCACAGAAATGATGAGATTATGATGTTCTTTTATCAAGTATTGGCCTACGTTGTAAGTCCATTCCAATGAATACATGAATTAAGAGTTGCAAGTTTAACTTGGGTTATAGACTTTCTGAAGAATTTGTCAGACACGAACTAGTGAGTCCTAGCAGTTGAATGAAGTTGATTGATTAAAGAATAGAATCTTGGGGAAAGACCAAACCATGATAATTACTTGGTAATCAAATTTCAGTTATTCTTTTCAATATATTTGATCGATAGATTTGGCTATTGTAGTAGGAAAAATTATTAGATATTTTAGGAGTATAGTTAAGTTAGTATACCTCATAAACTTTAATCTTGTTTGTTTCTATAACTTTTTAATATAAATTTAAAACAAACTAATCAAATTAATGAGAGTTATCAACTTGTATGTACTTTGTGAAGTAGCTTATAGTTTGTTGTTTTTGCAGTAATTGATTCTTCATTTTCTCCAACAGTGAGAAGACAAACTTCTCTATTCTGTTGATTTGACAGAGATGGTGGGAGTAATGTAAAACTTTATGTTTTTAAAAGGAAAAAAGAAATATTTTTCATTAGAACTTAATAATAACTATCTTATTGCAGTGCAGCAATGGAATCAGAAAGTCCTTGAGAGAGCAAAAATAAATAAGGCTTCCCATTGGTAATATTTACAAGAGTCCATAAAAAGACGACAAAGATACAAGTTAAAAAAAAAAAAAAAAAGTCATCAATAGTTTATTCACAAAATTAAGTGAACGTGTTTGATTCATTAATTTCAATTATTTATCATATAACAATTTTGTTTAACCTGAAATTTGATAAATTTTCTTTGGTCATAAAACAAAATAAAAATACAAAATTAAATTTACTTTTAAATTGTTATTACTGTTTTTATTTTAATATTATCGTGCCCAAGGGAAAAAAAAAAAAAAGTAAAGAAAAATTCACTATCATTTTTAATTATTATTATTATTTATTTTTATTTTCAAGAAAAATAAAATAAAATAATATGATTGAGAAAAACACAAAAGAGAATAAACAAAAGAAAAATAATAAGAAAACAACAACTAGACAAAAGGGGCAGGAGGCCCTTCCTGCTTGCCTTTTCTTTCTATGGGCCAGGCCCAGACTTCCTTGAGGGAAAAAACGGCGTCGTTGAGCTATCAAATTCTTCCTGCTACCCTCGTCTACAAATGAGAGAGCGCTTAGATCACCAAAACAGAGGAGCAGGTAGAAGTGATGAGAAGATGAAGCGAGAAATCAGAAGGCAGAGATGAGGCATCGAAGATGATGACTGGTTCGGAGAAGAGAGAAGGCAACAGAGCAAAGCAGCGGCGAAAAGAGGCCAAAGAAAAGGGATTCGGCTTTTGGTTTCGGGAAGTTGGTGTATGAGATGATTGATGATGGTTCAGGATGATGAGGACTGAGTAAAGGCCGACGTACTGAAGAAAGAGAGATGAGCTCGAAAAAGCCCTATAAATTGAGTAGAGCTGAACAGGCGAAGAAAACACAGAGGAGGAAAAGGAGAGAGTGTATAGCAGAGGAAAAGTTCTTAACCTCTTTCTTTGTTTCTGGAAAAATTGGAGAAAGAAACAGAGAAAAGAGCTCGAGAGTCTAAGGGATAGAAACTGAAAAAGAAACAAGAAAAGCCCGAGGAAGGAGCAAAGGAAAGAACTGAGATAGAAGAGGAAAATTGCGGAAGAGGCAAACTCCGGTTTGGGAAAAGGGTACAGTTGAATTCTTCTCTTTATGTTCTTTTTTTTGTGATTATATTAATTGTAACAGGGAATTGTGCTTGAAACTGTGAATTGAAGTTGAGGTACTGTGCGTCATGTTGTTTGGAGAAATGAAGCATGTCAGTAGGTATATGAAGCCCTTACTTTTGATAATCATCTTTCCATGATATTGGAAATCGCATCCTGTTATGTTCACCTAATTTCCATGCCTCATTCATGAATACTGTTAAGTTGAATGGAGAAATTGTGTAAGATGCAAAACTTTGAAATGCAAAATATGCTTGGGGAGAAACCATGGTCCGGTTTCATGCATGCCTTCCTTTTAAAAAATGGATTATAAGCATTTAAACAAGAAAAAGTGCCAACTTGATGTTTTTGTAGAATAGGTATTGCAGTCTAGAATTTGAACATTGGGTTGGTTTACATTTTGAAAATGCACAAAGAATTTGAACATTGAGTTGGTTTACATTTTGAAAATGCACAACATGTTCACAAAGTTCAAACTTTGGTTTTAACAAATTAGAAAATATTTAGATTATTTTTCCTTCTTTGACTGATAAGGTGAAGGGAAACAACAGTGTGGATGTGGATGGAACCATCTTTTGCGTAAAGACTTCTTTTCACAAGTATAACGAGAAAATTGACTCTGCTAAACTCATTTCAATGTTTTCTTTTTTTTTTTGTTAACTCCGCTTTTCTAAACTCATTTCTCTATTAAGCCAGTGTTAATTTTTGGTTTCCCATGCTACGCGTAATTGTGTGTGTCTAACTATTTGAAAGTTTCTAAGATTTCTAGCATACTGCTGTAGTTGTTGTTTCCCAAGTCCATCTTATTTGATTCATATACAGATGAAATATATCCATAATGTCACAGAAGCAAATTAACATAACTAATATAGTAAATCTTTTGTACATAGGCGGTACCCTCTTGGTACCTTTTTCTAATACATTTACTAACTTTTATCTCAAAAAAATATGGTAAATATATACCAGGACATATACATATGTATATGTATGTGTGTGTCTGTTAAATTCGTGATTCTCCCTGGACTAATGTACTCAATAAAACCATGGAGTGCAGGCAAGGATTTCTACGGAAGGGCTTTTTCTGAAAGTTGGAGCATTTGAGCCAAATTTGAGAACGGACCCATGTTTCGCAAGCAAGGCACATGGCTCCAACTCTTGACCAAATTTAAGCTACATCAAACGATGCCTTTTCGTACTATTGCCACAAAATCCACCAACAACAACATTGATAAGGTCGAGTCTAGCATCAGCAAGTACAATGAGGCATATTGTCAATTGGACAAGCTTGATTTCACGACTGCTGCTAAGATACTTTTCACTGGTCCGCCAAAGGAAAAGAAGTTTGGGTAAATTTTCTCCTTAAAGTTTTCCTTTTTTTTAGCACTTCCGGTCCTTGGTTGGGCATGAATTTGTCGGTTAGCATTACATTTTTAATAAAATATTTTTTATCTTATTTCAAAATAAAATATAATTATTATCTATCTCCTAGGTGTCTTATCAAATGCATTTCACTTTCTCCTGTCATGGTTTCTTGCTCTTTCTTGGTGTTTTCATTTTTGCTTTCTATATTTTTTTTATTGTTCTTTTCATTTTTATTCCAAATGCTGGAATTTTGAAATTCCTTCTGTTGTGCTTTATGTTTTCTTTTTTCATCATTTAGGTGCAGGAAACAGTCATTAGTATGAAAATAATTATGCAATTTGTGAATTTATATTAGAGAACAAATAGTAGATGATACTGAAAGAGAAGATTGATTAAGATAATATTTAGGATGCAAACAAGAAAGAGAAGATTGATGTACTTATAAAGTTGGAAATGTCTCACTGACATAGAAAAAGTAATATTCTTTTCTTGAGGTTGCTGATGATATGCGATCGCTTTTGTCTTCAACTAGTAGAAACTTAATAAATGATTAGTTAGGTCCATTTTCTTTAAACTTTAAGGATATTTTTAACAAATTTTATTTTCTCTCTAATTTCTTTTAATATTGTTTGATAGGTAATGGGTCTGATCCTCCACATGCCCCACCACAACCTCCCACCATGTAAGAAATTATCAATAAAACCAAATCAATTTTAGGAATTTGGTACATAATTGTGGAGGAACGTTCGAAAACCATATTAACATAATACGGAAATATCTTACTATATATTCCCGTATAAAAATTATTATTTTTTTAATGTTATAATTAATATTTATTTATTATCAGTCGATGAATGTATTAACTTATAATTAAAAAACATTATATATTGAGATGTTGATTGAAGATATATTATCTAAATTGCTACTAATTATAATTACATATTGAGTAAAAATTAAAATTATCATTACAAAGATGTTTATATCAAGTAAAGAAGAAGTAGTCAATTTAGTTAAGTTATTAGAATGATAACCAACTTAAATTTAATATTCCACCTCAAGATGGACAGTAAATATTATGAATAACCATCTTGGCAAACAAAGAGAAAATAAAAGAGAAGTTACGTGTTTGGTAAACAAATATGCCAATTGTTAGTGTAATCAAATTGACAAAAGTTTAATCATCGCATTTGTTTATTGATCTAGACAAAATAATAATCAATTTTGATATTTGATTGTCACTAAACAGTATACCTAGATCAGAAGATTTGATGCCACAGTTAGAAAGTAACTACTTGATTTAAAGAAGTTCATTTGTAGTGATAGTTAAAGCTTTGTATTTTACTTTAATAGAGGAATATGAAACTGGTTATCTACTTTTTAATCTTCAAGAAAATCAATAAATCTCTAAACAAAATATAAAACCAGTAACATATTTACAAAAATACGTGCAATTAGCTCCATACATGTTTAGAAAAGCTTGAGGCACAAGGAACGAAGCAGCTGAAAGAAGAAACCTTGGCCAAGTTTTCACTTGATGTAACATAGCACATGACTAGCAGCCTGTAGATGAGGCTCTCTCGGTCACGAAAAAAGCTAAATAGATTTATACACTTCAAACGTGTTATCTGACCTTAAAAGTACTAAATATAATAAATATCTCATAAGACATTTATATTAAAAGAGATATTTCAGTATTTCACAATCATGTGCGTTAAGGGACAACTTATGCTTCATTAGAAGTTTTTTAAGTTTGTAAACTAAAAATATTGCATTTTTGAGGAGTTGTGAGAGATAACATCTTTGAGAAATGTTAATACCTTTAAAAAAAAGTCCAAAAAAGTATTTCATATTTGTCCAAAATCTTTGAGCTAGAATTGAGTATATAAAAAATTCTTTACAACTTGAATTTCAGTTGATGAAGAGCTAGTAATGACAATTACTTAACAACAAAGGCTAATTAGATTTTCATTGCAACAAAGACCTAAAAGCTTGTTTGAAGTCTAAATTAATATGTGAAGCTTGCAGACTTGTTTGACTATTATATAAGACTGCTCCCCTTAAAATCCATATAAACTTCTTCAAAGAAATCCTTATTTAAAAAAGTATTGTTTACATCCAGTGATGTTAAATATCATTGCAAAGTAGCAACTAAAGCAAGAAGCACTTTGACCCTTATTAATTAAAAGGGAACTTTAGAATAAGAGAAGAGAGTTCTAGCAATAACAACCTTTAGTAAATGTTAATGCATTCTCTCAACTACAGAATTCTATTAAAGTGTCTCAAACACAAGAAAATTGATGTATGACCTCTTTGTGATTAATGAATTCAATAAGAATAAAACCATTTGACATTATTAGATTTGAAGTAACAAGTAGATTAAAGAAATAGAGAATAATAAATCTTCGACGTTTTTAGCTATACCAATCATCTCATTGTTGTAAAAATCCTGAACTACATAAGAATCGATTGGAGATCCTATACACAAACATGATCATGATCTTTTTCTTGATTTTTAGATCAAAATGTAAGAACCGAAGGAAAAGGATCTAGCCAAAAGGTGGGACAAAGTCCCAACAATAATTTACAAAAATTTAATATTTAAATGTTGTGACTTTCAGATTTTATAATTTTTTAAAACACCTAAATCAAAATAGATTTATTTAAATGTTGTGATATAAATTTTTAATTTTAAAAATCGAGTTACAATCAAAATAGATTTTAAAACCTACGCATTAGGTAATGAATAAAAAAGTAGAGCAAAATAAGCATAATGACTTTTATAATCATAGTAAATACACCTAAATTCTTACCCAATAGAAAACCATGAACGGGAAAAAAAAAATTACAGACAATAGAGGAAGAAAAAGTCAAAATAATACTAATTAAAATATGTATATATACATATATATAAATTTATCTGCATGTACATACATATATATATATATGTGGGAAAATAAAAGATTTTACTTTTGTTGATGAATGAAAATATTTGTTTATTCAAAAAGTTGCGTTTTTGAGCCGAATAGACGTTGGATCTCAGTGGCGAAGTTCCATGGGAAGATACGAGTAAGCAGGTCAAGGTCTTCGATGCACTTACCAGCTTGGCTCTGTCACCGAACCCCCGCCCGCCCTCTTTCCTTCTTTCTTTAAATCAACCCCCCTCACCCCCTTTCTTCCTCTCCAACTATCCTGCATACGTGTCTTTGATTATTTGATCAACCATGTCTGATATTGCGAAAGACGCTTGGAGAAAATATCTCATACAACTTCAAGCACACCCTCTTAGAACCAAGGTTTCTTCTTTTCAATCTTTGTTGGATTATTCCCTTGTCTCTGTCTTCTTATTCGCTTATTATTCACGGTTTCGTTTTGTTAATGTTGTCTTTTTGGGTTTTTTCTTTCCTAAATTGGGTTCATTTTTGTTCCGGTAGATATATGTATATTCTGTTTCTAATTAACATTTTGTTGGTTTTTTTTTTTTTTTTAATTTTATTCCTTAGGCAATTACTGCAGGGGTTCTAGCAGGGTGCAGTGATGTAATTGCTCAAAAAATTTCTGGGGTCAAAAAGCTTCAGTTTAGAAGACTGCTTCTCCTCATGGTAAGTTGACTTTAATTATTTCTCAGTCAGGTGGATCACACTATCATTCTGTGCTTGTTTGCCAAGAAAATTCCAAGAGAGATAAAATCTAAACTTTGATTCATATTCTTTTTTATGTGGGTCACTTGACTTGCTAGAATCGAAAGGGTGACTGAAATGGTTTGGTATGTTCAATCATCGTCTTTTATACTATTTTTGGTAGAAATGAATTCCACGAAATAAGGAAAAAAGAAGTGGAATTCATCTGAAAGTATATGTTTTTATCTCTAGAATTTGTGTAATCAAACTGGAAAGAGTCTGATGATTGCTTTAAACAAAATTGTAATTTTGAGAAAATGATCCAACGTTTTGCAATGAAGTTATATATTTGAATTTTGTGCAGCTTTATGGCTTTGCATATGTTGGACCATTTGGCCACTTTCTTCACAAATTGATGGATATTATATTTAAGGGAAAAAAGGGCAACTCAACTGTTGCCAAGAAGGTAAAGTCTTCTTATATGAACTGGGCTCCATTTTTTCTTCTGCGCAATTTATATTATCTCGATTTTTTCAAATAAAACTGCCTTCTTATGTCTACTTTCTGTGGCAGTACAAGTCCAAATGTTGTTTCCTAATTAGAGATTATTAATGGGAAATTTTGTTAATCAGGTGTTATTGGAACAGTTAACTTCTTCTCCATGGAACAACTTCTTTTTCATGATGTACTATGGTTTGGTAGTTGAAGGTATCTGAATCTATCAACTGGTCTCCTTGAACCATACTCATGCTCAATTTATTACAGGCAGTTAAAAATGTGGCATTAGTTTTGTTTTATGGCTTTGCTCCTAATTGAGATTTTTAAGGATGAAAGAGATTTCAATAATCAGTTTTCAAGCGGGTATCTTTGTCATTGCATGCTGTTTTTGTTATGATATTTATCAGCTGCATTACTATTGAAGCTAGGATTTTTCTGCATTTTTACAAAATGGATCCAAAGAAACAAAGCATGATATGTAACCATAGATCCTGAGCCTTGAGATTCCCCAACTCATTTTCATCTTATGTTCACAATAAAGTTTGGAGGAAAAAGATTTGTGAATTATCAGTTGAGATGGGAACTTATTCAGATTTGTGATTAGCATCTAGTTGAGTTTGAGCTGAATTTTGATAAAAAAATTTATTGAAATTGCCTCTTTTCATATATTTTAATTGAAAAGTTTTGTGGGACTTTTTTAAAATCATGGATCAAAACTATAATGTACTGTACAACGATCAGGTTTTTTGTATTTACTCTGACAAGTCTGAGCTGAAATACCCCCTAAAATCTAGCAGAGGGACTAGAAAGTAAAATTTGTCTCAGGATTGATCCTTCTTCTAGGGAAGTAGAAGTTGACAATAATTAAGTGACAGTTTTGTTTGTTTGTTTACTAACTAATTTGGTACCAAGCTACTTCTGATTGATCACCGATTTGTAAACCTTTAGATGGTGCTTCAATCTTTTCAGAAAACATGAGAGTACCATTTATATTTTCTTGTTTGGAGACCTTGTCATTTTTCAGAACCTGATAAATCCAGGCAATTTTGGAAATTTAGAGTGAGAAGAGACTTAAAAATTATGTTGAAGCACGAGAAAGTATTAGTTTCCAGCTGATTTAGTAGGAAAAATATGGGGGAGGTGGTGGTCTTTTCTGCTAATAAGATCATATTATTTTGATTTTTTCTGGGGTAGAAATGGAACACGAAAAAGGAACAGTTGGATTTTAAAATGCTAAGCCAGTATCATATAGATCAGCTGTGAAAGTTGTGGATGTAAATGTTAGTTTCTCAACTTTCCAAATCATGAATTAGTATTCCACTGTTCACCCATGAGAGGAGGCATTTTAGAAATGCTTCTTCAGAAACCTTTTCTGGTCTATTCACGAACATCTAGATAGTGATCTTGTGTTCCTTATTTTCTTTCATTTTTTATCGGATTTGGAAATTCAGAATCCATTCTATGACTGTAATCATGGTAGGGGAAAACGGTCATTGATAATGGAACTAAGATTTATAAATCGTATGCCAACTCAATATCAACTGTGATTTGTGGCTGAAAGCTCACTGTTCTGTCTACTTTTTAGTATGAATGCTTTCGCTGACTTTCCTATAAAATGCTTGTGGTGATTAATGGATGCCTTAATTTCACATGCAATAAGTTTTTTGGTTGTAAATTTTATTGTTTTTCTTTCTTTATAAGTTTCTCTACTTTCTTTCAGGAAGACCATGGGGTCTTGTTAAGAGCAAAGTTCGAAAGGATTACCCTTCGGTTCAGTTAACAGCATGGAAGGTATGGTAATTCTGGACATTATTTTGGACCACATGCAGAGCATTTCAATGGTATGCCCAATATATGACACTTTAGCTATGACATGCAGTTTTGGCCTATTGTTGGATGGGTGAATTACCAGTACATGCCTTTGCAGTTCCGCGTTGTGTTTCACAGCTTTGTTGCCTCATGCTGGTAGGCTTTCAAATCCTGCAGTTCTACTTTCTTTCTTCCTCCAGTTATCCTTCTTTTCAACTGTTCTGATTAACTGCCTTATGCACATGGATCAGTACATCAGTTCATATAGTTAGCCGTTGAGATGATGATATTGATTGTAGAGATAATGCTGAAATTTTTGTCTCAGTCACACATAAGTGGAATTCTAAGGTGCTCTTTGGCCAAAATGTGATCTGTGCCATGCAATTGTGGTTATATTGATTATTGTTTCTAGATATGGTTATCAGCCGGATGAAAATTACTGTAAAGCCAAATAGGTTGGAGATGTCAATAATATGCTATTTCACAAACTTTTATGCTTGCTATGGTGGGTGTACCTCATCTATTATTTGTTATTTTTAAGTGGTGTCGATTTGTTATTGTTCAAGTGAGTTATCATATTTTATAGGACAAGTACCCAATTTAGTTCAATGAACTATAGTGAATATTACATTTTAATTTTAAATATTTTTTTAAATTTTTTTTGTGAAATAAAAAGTGTGAAGTATACATTGAAAAATGAATTCTTTTTACATGTTCTTTTTATTACAAATGAGTTCCCCGAAATTTTGAGGTTGTTTCAAAAACACACTAACTCCGTTAGTTTTAAATAGAAAAAACTGAAAAAGCTTAAACTTGTTTGAATTAGAAAAAAATGAAAGTAAATCAAACTTAAAAAAAAAAAATAAAAAAATACTTAATTCTTCTTCTTCTTCTATCTCCTTCACCATTTATCTTCAATTTGCTTTACTCAAAAGAAAAGGGGCAAAGATGGAGAAGATGGATCCAAGGGTGCCCATCCTCTGGCTCTTTTACTGTGATGGTTAATGGGAAACCCCGTGATTGGTTTAGATCCTCTAGAAGGCTTAGACAAGGCGATCCCTTGTCCCTTTTTCTTTTCACTCTATTTGTGGATACTTTAAGCAGCATGTTGACTAGGGCATTCGAGAGGGGAGTAGTAAAGGGGTTGAGAGTTGGACTTCAGAATGTAGGTGTGTCCTGTGGATGATACAATTTTATTCCTGGAGCATGATAATCAATCTATATTAAACGCTCTAACAATCATCCATGTATTCGAGTATGTCTTAGGGTTGGAAATCGACATGGGAAAAGTGGTCTAGTTGGGACAAACGTAGATAATGACCTTGTTAACTTCTTAGTGGATTTGATTGGATGTGGGAAGCTTTCATGGCCATTACATACTTCGGAGTTCCTTTAAGAGGTAACCCGAGTTGGAAGACTTCTTTGGGGGAGATAAAGATGAAGGTTGCTAGGCGTCTTTAGAGTTGGAGGAGGGGTCTTTTCTCTTTAGGGGGAAGGGTAATCTGGCCTAACACTTGTCTAACTAGTATACCACTCTATTATCTCTGCTT